CAACAGGCGACAACAACAATGCAATAAAACCAAAGAAATAAATTGCAGATAATAATAAATAAACGAACAAGCGCCAGGCGGCTACATACAGCCTTATATCGGTGTAGAGTATATAAGCATCGTCTTAGGAATGTACACTAATCAAGTGGGAGCTTATAGAATATGGCAACTACCAAATGCGTGCAATCGCAATAGGGTCGTATAGCAACAGTCCACATAGTGCAACTGTTGTTGTTATTTTTGTTGCTAGCAGTCTAATAGCCACAGCCAGAAGTGCGACAACGTGGTCGGACTATTTGGTCCGCTGTTCGTCTACGAGTCGGCAGCCGGCTGTGTGGACTTGCCTCAGTGTCAGGCAGACACTTTGTGCTCAATTTCGCTAATGTAAAACAAAAACAACAATATTAATATTACAAGTGATAACTTAATTTTATTTTATGTATGTGTATGCATTGGCGTCGCTGGAATGTTACTTTGAGGGGTTACGTTGGTTTTTATACCATAAAGGCTTCCAGCTGTTCAAGAAAAGTCCACTTGGGATAATATTTTGAATTAATGTATAGAAAATGGAGGTTCCATTGGAGCCGCTTTTAATTAGTTCAATATCGATTTCCAAACCCATCTTAAATATGATATAACTTTGCTATTATTTTTATTTTCAGCTTTCAGTGGTACCCATTAACTTATTGTGCGTCATCTAGCTTTAGAAAATATTTCTGAGGTTTCTCAAAGAGCCTAAATCCAATAATAGATCTGGTAAGTCTGCTTTGGAAAAATTGTTTGCTTTATTTTAATATTTTTACCAATGACTGATAGAATCGAAAATTGATTTAGGTACTTTTAAAAAATCTCTCAAAACCCGTTAGATGTGTGAAACACCATTGTTTATAGTGTTGCAGTATAAAATATACCCAAATTGTGAAACCACTTTGCTGAATTTTAATCCGCAACTTTACAGTTACGTAGTCCCGATTGCCTTGAAGACGAGTCCTGTTTTGTTTTTTGGAGTTCCCGATTAGATCATTCCAGATCTTTACTGCGAAAAATAGTAGCTATACTAGGTAGTAGAATCGCAAATACTTCTAGTTTTCAAAAACCGGAAGGCAGTAAAAATATGCGAAATTTTTGAAGAATAAGTAATAAGTAGAAGGACTCGCATTCTAAAACTTAAAACTTCTTACAACTAAAAACAAATTATAGAACTATAAATAAAAAAGTAGAAAAACGAGGGATAAAGAAAAGAAGCCATTAAGAGGAGAGTTAAGCGAACGAACTCCAGAAGAAACAGGTTACTAGAAGAGAGAAGAGAGAAAAAGTTAGATGAAAGAACTGCAGGAGAAAAAGGTTACTTTAAGGGAGAAGTGAGAAAAAGTTAGATTAAAGAACCCCGCCAGGAGAAAAAGGTTCTTACAACGAAGAAGTAACATGTAAAGAAGCCATAAACCAACACAAGAAGCTTTATTTAGTCTCGTATATATATTTAATAAGCAGTTGGAGGAACCAAGCTTGATGTAGACTTCAGGAAGAACAAATAAATCTAATAAGTACTAAGAAAACCCAACTCCAAAAAACAAAAATGAACCTTAAAGATATCAAATAAATCTAATAAGAACTTTGGGAAAATAAGTCAGACGTGAACTTCCAAATAAAATATAAAGAAATTGTATATAAAAAAATCAAACGACAACTCGAGCGCATGAAGTCAGTGAACTTCAAGAAGCACATATAAAGCAATCTAAGGAGTTCTTGAAAGTCCGACATGAACCTTAAAGAGCACAAATAAATTTAAGCGCACTTGAAAGAAACAAGCCATAAGAGTACTTTAAAAATATTGAAGAAAGCTAACAAGAACTTAAGAGAACAAACTAGAACTTGACCTCTAATAGTATGGATAAGCTAGATCTAGCTGCAGTTAAGAACTCCGCCAATGCTTGGAAATTTTAAATTTGCTTAGCTTTTTGCGAAATCTAGAGTATATCAGGAAGCATTTTCCAACACGATTCGGATATATCGTTTATATATAGTTTATTGTTACAAGGAGGAATGATAGAGACATTTTGCATTCTAGCCTATATAGTATTAACATTTAAGAGAATTATAGACTGGGTTACAGTAGACGTGAGAAATTCTAACTAGAAATACCTTTAGTAACCAGAGATCATATCTGCCTGTAACTGTAACCCCTAAAGGCGCCCACTGATATTCTTATTCCCATATGTGTGTATATATGAGTGTAAGTGTGATGAATTCTCGTACTATCATTTTAATGCACATATATATATTCATATGTATGTATATATGTAATACACATGTACATATGTATTTTATATGCATATTTGAACAAATTCAATTGAACTTTGCTTTAGTTGATTTGTCACTTATTTGCATGCGAGAAGAAGGTTCACACTGCGGTCTCGATTCAATGGAGGACAAACAAATTGAACAGCACAGTGATAAACACACACACACATACAATAAATACACACATGTGTTGATATGAAACAGCTTTGTTATGTGGACACTTATGCATATTTGCATTATGACTATGTATGTGTGTGTGCGTGTACTTTTCAAACATATTTCCATGCAATTTTTCCAGAGAAGCGCCGATGATTCAACGCCGGCGCAATCATTTGCCATATTTGACACTAATTGTCATTTGAGGAATTTCACTTATGCGAATGTGTGGCAGATACACACACACACACACATACAAATACATGCATACAAATTGACGAATATTTTTAATGCAAAGGCATAAATTAGTAAAGCGAGTAATTGAGAAATTTCAATAAAAAACGAATTAAAATAAGTGCAAAAAATTAACACGCAGCCGATTTGAATGTATGTATTTATGCATGCATGTGTTTATATATGTATTTATGTATACATATATGTATATATTTATGTGGGTTCTGTGTGTCTGTTTGCTACTAAGAAATTTATGATGACTCAAGGTTGTTGCGTACTAATTAAAATTTTAACTGAATTCATAAAAAATGGGCAAGCAGACAATCCACGAAGCAATAAACACAACTACAGACATATTTATATACCAAACACACATACATGCTTGTATATGCAATGCGAACCAACTTTTATGTCGCTATGTAAACATTGAATAATATTATTTTCGAATTAAAAATTGTATTAGAGAACTATTTCTTAGTAGGTGATTAGTCTGATAGCATAAATAAAATCGTCGAATCTTCAGCCGACGATGAGACAATCGGTTTGGGTGTGTCCTGCGTCATTACTAGCGTTCAGAATCACCAGTATTGCCTGTCACAATTTTCGTTGTATTTTTCGTGAGTACTTGCGGCGACGGCCTAACCTCACGGTGCTCAAAAGCACAGCGAATCAATACGATGCGTTGATCAGCGCCACAAGCAATCCAAGCATTATTTGGATACCAGTTAATAAGGTGAAACTGACACCTTTTCCACCTTGGGCGGGATCGAGTCCGACCTAAAACCTCTGCCATGCTGTGGCTATGGCACGCGGCCGCAATGCGTCTCCACATTGTACTGAAATTTTCACTTCAACCCGCATTTAGGTTTAAACCACAGCCACCACGAATCTCTCTAAAGGGCCAAAACCAATGAGCATTTTGCACCGAAATCCAAGGGCTTTCTGCTCCCCGTGGTACCAGTTTACAGTCTCCGCTAAGATCTTGTAGTTGTAGCTACTGCCAGTTGAGCACCCATCAAACTCAATGACTGCTGACATTTGTCGCTTGAACTTCAAACGTCTTTTCATTAGTAGGAATCTCATTCAAAGTCTATAATATCAGTTCAAGCTGAGTATTATAATATTATTTCTGACATAACTTTGCTGATATTTCTTGGCAAAGCTGAAAAACAGACATAGCGCATATGGATTTTAGTCGTATCTTATGACAGGCATACCTTACCGAGAGAAAATTCTACACCCCTGCCCGCTGTCGGAATTGTTCGGAATGCTTGACATCGGTCGGAATCGTCAGTTTTGTTCAGAATCGTTGGCATCATCTGGAATCATTAGTATCGCCAGCATTTTCCGATATCGTCAGCAACGTTAATATTATCATGCAGAGTCCGGAACCGTTAATATAATCCGGCATCGTTAACATTGTCCAGAATAGCCAACATCCTGCAGAATCGTCTGCATGGTCTAATATTGTCGGTATCGCTGAGAATCATTTGCACCGTTCGGCAACGTTGGCAACATCGGTATTGTCCGATTCGTCAGTAATCGTCAGTTACGTCTGTATCATCAGGCAAAGTTCGGTATCGATGATATCGCCCGGTATTTCCATGATCGCATCGGCGTTGTTCGAAACCATCGTTCGGAATCTTTGACATCGTTGGCATCATCCGGCATCATTGATATTCGTCCTAAATGGTCAGCGTCGTCCAAAATATTCAAAATCGTCGGTATAGTTTGTATCGTCCGGCATCGTTGAGGACCAGTAGGAGTAGATATAAAAGCCATACGTTTCAAGGTTATTTATAAAGTTATTTGTAGCGACATTAAAGATGATTCAGATTCTTTTGATTACATCACGTGATGCCTTAAAGAGTGACTAAACTAACCGACCCTAGTTGCTTTCCAATTTAGACTGGAAAATGACTGGATGACAAATACCAGACTTAAAACTCGACTTAATATAGAAACTGATTGAACGTTGGTCAGAGTATGCTACAGAGAATTAGTGATAGATTTTACAACCTGCTTCGGGTGCATCTGAATATATATCATTCATTCAACAAATGATAATTTCGGTCTGACTGCTAGATGTTGACATTCCAACTTATTGTTTGGAAATCTCTCGTTTTCAGGGGCATGCTCTGTCGCCATGACATGCGTTATGGCATAATCAGAAAATCTGGGTATGTGCTCCTGCCGAAAAGTACCTAATGATAAGCTCTCGAGGAAAATAATACTTTTAGGTTATTTCTCGTTAAAAACGGGTTTACAAAGATTGTAAAAAGTCCAACACAACAAAAACATAGCAAACACAAATTTTCTTGATATCATTGCAATTTTACGATATATTAACATAGTTTTCTTTAAACAAACTTGTCCACCCTTAAAATAAAGCTACACGATTAGCAACAATTGAAGATCCATCACGTTGGTGCCGGTGTGCCCGGTTAGCACATGATATTCACCAGCTTTCAGGTTTTTATAAAAATTATACGAATCATTGCGCTGCAAGACAGATTCCACAACGCTCAGATTATGCGCATTGTTCGACAAAAAATCGCTTATCACTAAATCACAACCGATAGCGCCAGCTGCCGGCGTTGGACCATCAATGCCATCTGTACCGGCAGAGAGAAAGATAACATTATTGAAATCCGCATTCTCATATGAAGTGATGGCCATACGTAGTGCCAACTCCTGGTTGCGGCCACCCAAACCGGAACCGGTGACCTAAAGTACAAATAAAAGAACAAGGTTTATGCACTGCATAGTGGTATATGTATGATGCTACTTACCTTAACAGTCGGTTCACCGGCCAAAATCAGTAGCAGTGGCTTCTGTGTGCGCTCACACATGAGCAGTGTTTTTAAGAAATGCTGGAAGATGCGTGAATCGAATGGAAACCGACTTTTCAAATCGTTTTCATCCAGTTTACCCTTACGAAAATCGCAAATGCTTTGCAAGAAGTCTTGATATTTGGTTACCAGCTGCTGCACTTCACCCTCTAACGTTGTGCTGGCAATAAATGGATTGTAACCACAGCTGAGCGCCTCCTGCACAGCTTGCGCAGTAGCAACACGATTGTCGCCCACCACGTAAACAGAGTTGTTGAGCGCCGGTGTCAATGATGCTTTTGTCTCCGACACTTCCACTAATTGTCGTATATGCTCAGGCAAATCGGCAAATAATGCATACTTTTCCAATATTTCCTTTGCGGTTGAACGCTTTGATATTACCGCACACGTTGGTCCGCTAGCTATTATATCGACCGGATCGCCTACAACGTCGCTGATGACAAACGAAATAACTGCAAAAGCTTTGCGTGCAGCAGCCGCCAAACGTCCACCTTTGATATCGGACAAAGCAATACGCACAACATTCATCTCATCAATGCTGGCACCACAATTGGCTAAGCGCCGCACCAGTTGCATCTTCTCTGACAGCGTTAGTGGCGGTCGCGGTAATGGTAGCAGCGCAGATCCACCACCGGATATCAGCACAAAGAGTATATCGTTTTCTGTCATACTCGCAGCTAGAGCTTTTATGCGCTTTGCCGCCTCGAATGCCTGCTCATCTGGCTGATTGTTTGGTGCGCCCTCGATAACATCTATAACGGTACCTGCTGATAACTGCATTTCGGGCACATCATGAAAACGCTCACTTGTACCCTGCGGTATGCTCAGCACGCCACTGACCAAGCGTTTTTGCACCGATTTTTCCAATTGCACTGCCATGCCAAGCACAGCCTTACCAAAACCAACAACATGACAGTGTTTACGTGTTATATCCAAAGTTTTACCCTGTATTTGTATGCTCAAGCGGCGTCCATCTGCGCTCACCTGCGGCCGCAACGCATATTGATTAGCCTCACTTAGCAATTGCGCTGGTCGCACAGCTTCCACCGAACATTGGAAGATCTGTCGTAGATTCTGTATGTGTTGCAATTTTGCTGACATAATTTCTAGTAATTACTGGATGCTGACAACAACAACAACATTTATGTGGATGGTGATGAGCTCTTATCACGACATATAACTGTGTACTTATTGTGATAACAAAATTATCATTTCAGCTGCAAATGAAAATAAACAAATTCATCTAATAACGTCAACAGCTGTTTTCGGGCTGTCAGCAGAGAACGTATATATATCATATAATATATATATATCATATAATATACGTTCTCTGATTCAACCATGAAATTGTTTCAAGCACACAAGTGTTAACAATCAGATGGCGCGCTGTACATTAAGTAAAGTTGGTTTTGCTTCAGTTAATTTGTTTGCGAACGATTTTGGTAAGCTTGGCGGCGCCCTCTCTGCGCAAAATTTATTTACAATTTAACGGCACTTTGTACGTATGTTTGTTGTATGCTTGAAATAAAATGTCAGTTTTCAAGAACGCGTGCATTTTTCGTTAGTGAATTTGTGTATTCCGTGAGAAAAACTAATTTTTACCAAATAAAAGTTGTGGTAAATAACTTAATTGTTGATTGCGAGTGAAATTAGTGTGTCAGAGAATACAATGTGCTAAAAAAATTGTGTATTACTGTTTTGTGTCCAAATTATAGCACTTCCTATTCCGCTGAGGGGAACAGGAAATACTGCTAGCGATTTCTTTAGTTTGCCGGCCCCAAGTGAAATTTTCAAATGAGAAGAATATAATTTGCGAATATCAAAGTAAATATTCATCAATAATCTAATGCTCCGATAAGTGGAGAGCATGCAATGAAAAAGGTGTAAGTAAATATGTGTGTGTAAATAAATTTATATAGTGCTGCCCTAAAAGCAACATACAAGTATGTATGCGTTTTTATAAAGAAAGCCGAAACAGCCTCAGTGGTCAAGCGTTATTGTAATAAAGTGTGAAATGGTGAAGTGATAAAGTGATAAAAGCTAAAGGAAATATGCCAAAAGCAAAGGAAAAATGTCGCTTTAGCGAATATGCAAGTCAATTGTTATTAGTTGGTTCGAATTATAATAGGAAAAACGTGAGTGTAAGTGCAAGTGGTTCAAATATAAAAAATGTGTGTAAGTGTTTGTTAATTTAAGAAGTGCTCGAACAATTCTGGCACGCAAATGATAGCTGCTCGTGTAAAATTTTCAGCGAACTGGCGGATCTTCGGAATCATGTACATACATCCATGCATATGTGTATTTACGTGTAACAGAAGGAAAACTGCCTAAAAGAAGACACCATTGGTAAGTAAGGTTAGTGCTCGACTTCATTTTAAATATGTTGTATATTTTAAACATTATTCGATGGAAAATTAGGCAGTTCACTGATAATGGACCTCTTAACCTATTATAATTAGATGTTCATAGTTATATAATATAATATTATGGAAATTTTTGAGCCTCTCTTGATGCATAATGGAAAAATGTGATCACATTTGATTATACAGAAATTTTTTGCGGCGGACCTGGAGTTTGCGAATTTTTTTTAATTTTTGGATTAAAAATTATACATTCATTTTCCAACATTATTAGAATTCCAGTTCAAGAATTATACATTAATTTTCCAACATTATTAGAATTCCAGTTCTGGGAATGTTAGATTACTGTGCATGCAATCGCAAAAAAAAGTTTCTACAACAATTTTTTGTTTTAATATTTATCTATAAAATTGGCATTAATATTTTTTTATTTTTCAATCCGTGTTTTAGGTTTAGAAATTTTAAAATTGTTTTTAACTCAGATTTTAGGGACTACGAAAAAAATATTAATTTATATGTTAATTCAATTATTTTTTTAATGCATTATTTGCAACGCTGGTGTACATAAAAAATTCTTTGGAATTAATCCTCAGAAAAATGTAAACTAAGAATTGGGTTCTGAAAGCTGATAATCATATATTTAGTTAGGGAATTATATCCAATTGCGATTTTCAAAAAATCGAATTTTTTACTTGCATATCGTGAATTTAAAAATATTCTTCAAAAATTTGAAATTAATATGGCAAATACTTTTGAGCATATGAGCATATTTGTAAAAAATTGTTAACTTATTATGAGTATTATATAATCGGCTCGCAAAACTTTAAACGCGTTTTTCTCGAAACGCTGTTTTCAAATGCTGTAAAGAAAATTTCTCCGATACGGCTGAAACTATCGACTTGAAATTTTCGCACGACCAACTTAAGTAGATGTATTTCTCAGGTAATGATCGAAGGAATAAGCTTTGTGATAATAACTTTTTAAGAAGCATACATTTTTTCACAAAATACTTTTTGTTTACAAAAATCAAAATTTGATCTTCGATCATTACCTGTCTTCATCTATTACCGTAATAATTATTTTTTTCGTGTATAGATTTGAGATCAATAAAAGCAGAAAAATTATACTCATGGCCAGACACCTTTTTTCGGTGGTCGTTCTAGAGATCGGCTACGGTATCAAGGGAATTCAAAATTTTTCAAAATCACCGCAAAAAATTTATTTTTATTTATTTTTTTTTGTTAAATAAAATGCCACTTCCAAAGAAAAATTATGACAAAACGCGTTTTTTCTAACTCGCAAGTGGATATAACCGCTTGAATCTACGAATATTGCAATATTCGGTTTCACCTTGGAATATGCTCCTCATAGTTGAAAATCTCTGCTTTTAATTACCAAAAATACAAATGTTCAAAATTTCACTGTAGGTTTTTTTTTTAATAATATAATTTAAAAAGAAATAATGTATTGGAAATAATTGAAATTTACCGCAGACACCTTCATGCGCTGGCCTCAATGCAATAATATAGGTAGAAAGAAAACACCGCATACCAACGGCATATTGACAGCCATCGCGAATTCAAATTGACATTGAGCCCCTTAAATTTCACCATTGGGGGTACCAATGTCATGTGGGTGGTTTATTCAAATAATTTAAAAGCCTCAGACAAAAGTAGCGAAGTAAAACAAAAAGCTTTGCACTTGTTATAGAAAGTGTTAAAAGTTTGTTAAAACAAAAACAAAAAAACAAAAAAATGGCAAAAACAAAAGTAACAAACATAATTAGTGAGCACATTGGAGTGGTTGCGTGTTTTTTACAGCTATGTGATAATAAATGTCGTCGCTCCAAATTATGTACGTGCAAATCGTGTGTCGCGCTATAAACATGCCAAACACAACATTTTGTGTGGCATTTCTAAAACTACCGCGTTCCTTGTTGGCACAAGTTCTACGTAAAAAAAAATGCGCGCTTTCAACGCCATTTTAACGGTTATATTATTGCAAAGTAATGTAAAAACCAAAAATTTATTTGCGAATTTATTTGGTAATTATTAAAAAAAAATATATTTTTAGTTTATCAGCATTCGTTGTGCGCCAACCCGATACAGGGTCTTTTCGATCCGAAATGTTTTGTCGCGAAAAGTGAGTGTCCCAATGAGAATGTCACCTTCTGGTTGTACACAAAGTGAGTGAAAAGTGAATTTCAAATGAAAATAAATGAAATACGCCATATTTTTTAGCGCAACGTCAAATACACCCGTGCAACTAGATCCGCTCAAACTACAAAAAACCGATTTTCCCGTGCGTCGACCCGTCAAAATACTCATACACGGCTATACAGGACATCGTGACTTTGCGCCGAACACCTTTATAAGACCGATGCTGCTGCAGCATGAAGATGTCTATGTCATCTCACCCGATTATGGACCGCTGGTGCGCGAACCTTGCTACACGTCGGCTGTGCAAAATCTACCCTTGGCTGCGCGTTGTCTAGCGCAATTGCTCAACAATCTGATCGATCAGGATATCGTGCAAAATGAAGACTTACATGTGATTGGTTTTAGTCTGGGTGCACAAGTGGCTGGTCAAACGGCGAATTATGTGAAAAAGAAATTGCTACGCATAACTGGTGAGCGGCGTTATTGTTGTAGCGCATGTTAACTATATTTGGAGGGGATTTTTTTTTAGGACTGGATCCTGCAAAGCCTCTGTTCATCACCGCTGGCAATGAGCGCAAGTTGAGTAAAGATGATGCGGATTTTGTGGACGTCATACATACTGATGTGCTGGGGCGTGGTATGATGCATCCGATGGGTCATGTTGACTTTTATCCGAATTTCGGTTATATACAACCCGGTTGTGATGTGGAGGCAGGTATGCATTGAAATAAGTGCGTAGTGTAACTAACAGTGTGGAAAATGTCGACTTCAACACGATTTGTATATTTCTGAATGGAATGAAGCTCATAAAGTTCATTTTTTTTGTTGATTTGCGCTCTTGTAACTCGAAAATATATTAACCGATAAGATTTCTGAAACCAAATTTGTCTCTACAGCAAAATGCGTTGTAGCTAGAAATCAGAGTTCCATTTTAGCTTAGTGTATAAGCTTCGAATATTCACAACAGGCGAAAAGTATCAGAATTTATGTTATAAAAGTGTTCACTGAAACTTAGTCTATCAGTCTTAGAGATGTTAATATCAAAACTTATTCAAAACTTTTTTATGCTTTAATAAATTTTCGTAACGTATCGGTAATATAGTATCGACTATAATATTGCGTAACCGACCGGAAACGTGCTTCTAGCTTGTAAGGCTCCAACTCATTCATAATATTTTCCTTGATAGCACAATTTTTATCGCGCTCTGTTTCTAGAACCCGGCAGCTGTAATCACGAACGTGCACCTCGTTTCTACGCCGAATCAATCAATCCGAAACAGGAATTCTGGAGCAGCCGTTGTACGAATTGGCTGTATTTCGTGTTAAACATATGTGGCGTGGACTCGAATGATGCGAGAATGGGCTATCATGTTGATGAAAGGTGACACACTCGACTAACAGCTGTGAAAAAATTTGAATAAATCATAAAAAAATTATATATTTGTAGCCTCACAGGCATATACTTTCTCAAAACCTCGAACTCTACACCGTTTGCGCTCGGTCGCATCAAAGATAAACTGCCAGGACTGCAGCCGAATTGGCGCGCAAACTACGAACTCGATATGCTGAACGAAAAGGCTTGCGATCAGCTGCTGATGTGTCGCTTTCTACGCTACGGCGCCGAATATGGTATGGATGCAGACGTACCGCCCGATTTTAGCTGAATGCGACAAGTATTTTTCTCGAGCAGTAGCATAAAGTAGTGTACTTGTATTTAACGAGCAAATAATTATTTTTGCCTAAAATAATTTTATATGCCTTAGTTTAAGCCGCCTGCACTTGTGTAAATATTTATAAAAATTAGCTATTTAAACAGTAAAAAATTTAAAAACTTACTTATTATGTGTATTTATTCAAAATTGACCCTGGACTTTAGCTTGATTGTTGATAACGGCCTTTCAATATGTGTTTCAATAATTATACGTATATGAATTTCATTACGAGTAATTATGCGGGTATAATTAGCATATTAATGTGTATAAAGTTAACGATTCTAGAACCGACTTGTGGCATTTATCAATTTTAAATTAAAATATGAAGTGTGAAATTAGTTGTTTGTGCGTAATTGTCGCAGCCATATGTGAGTAATATTTATTTGAATAAAAATATATTAACAATTTTTTAATTCTTGCCACGCCAATACCTAGTTAAAGTTCTACTGTCGGCCGCCAAGCTGCGTGCTGACTTTCCCTTCGATTGTATTTATGTGCGTGATGTCTGCCCCAATGAGCAAATAAAATTTTGGCTCTACAAAAAGTGAGTGCATGCAACAAAATATTCAATAAAATAAAATTTAGCAACAAAAATTCTACAGCGACACACGCGAAGCACAGCTCTTAGATCCACTCAATCTCACAACGGCCGATTTCGCACCTGGCTGGCCTTTGAAAATTCTCATACATGGCTTCAACGGTAATCAGTATGCTTCGCCGAATCTCGAATCGCGTTCTGTGCTTCTACACACCCAGCGTGTACATGTGATCTCAGTGGATTATAGTAGGTTGGTGGCATTTCCCTGCTACTATCCGTGGGCGGTAAGCAACGCGCGTGTCGTGGCACGCTGTTTAGCGCAGCTAACGGATAATTTAATTGAAAGTGGCATTTATATGGATAAAGATATACATTTGATTGGCTTCAGTTTGGGCGCTCAGATCGCCGGATTGGCGGCAAATAGTGTGAAGCAACCTTTGCGTCGCATAACAGGTCCGTGCAAGCCACTTGAATTAGCCACTTTTCATTATACTTCTTACAACTACGAATATATCTCTCCGTAGCTTTGGATCCCGCTGGCCCTGCTTTCGTCACACATAATCGCAGCGAGAAGCTCGATGCCACCGATGCCGAGTTTGTCGATGTCATACACACAGATCCGTTCTTTTATTCGTCTTTAGATCGCAGTGGTCATGCCGATTTCTATCCAAATTTGGATAAGTTCTTTCAGCCTGGTTGTAATATTGTGCAGGATGGCCGTAAGTCACATAACTATGTGTGATTAATTCTTATAACTTTATTTTTATTAACCACTGAAGGCTTACGTAATTGCAATCACTTTCGTGCGCCACTTTACTATGCCGAATCGATTGGCAGTGATCGCGGTTTCTGGTCCTATCAGTGTGGTGAGTGGTTGAAATTTGTTATGCAGCAGTGTCGCGAATTTGCCGATATGCCACACACCCAAATGGGTTATTTCGTGTCGAGAAAGTGAGTAAAGTGAACATAAAGCAATTCCACTTACCCAAAATAAACTAAACTGAACTAAATCAAAATTTAATGAATTCATATAAATCAATATACGATTTCGTTAGAAATTTAAATAAAGTAAAAACAATCAATTGCATTATACTAAAGTTAAGTCAATTACTCTAAATTAATTGAAACTAATCTAAAACAAACAAAATGTTGAAGACAAAGCATATGACGATTAACTTTTCTCCATTTAGGCTGCCACAAAGCCATTCAAGTTTGCTTCAAGCTAATGCCTAGCCCAGAGCAGGAGTCTTTTCTGGTAAACCCTGTAGTTGACTTGAGTTATCTGTATCTCACGTTCTATAAGTGCGATGACTTAACGCTTTATGTCGTTATAAAGACAAAATTTCGAACAGAAAATTCTTTTCAGACAGTATTCTTTGAGCACTTGTCAAAAATGGACAGCATTGCAAATCATATGGCTAAAAATGTGAATAGTTTTTATGGTTTCGTCGATTCCGTTCCGGTAATTTTTATGTTGAAGATCATCACTATTTGGATGTCCAATAGTCGAAAATATCGAAAAATTAATAGGAAATCGTTGAGTCCGACGATCATCTAAGCATTGTTTCTGTTGGCCAGGAGCTAAACATTTCCAAAGCCGTTTTGAAGAACTAAGGCTGGATACAAAAAAAACTCGATATAAGGGTGAAGTTAACGCCAAAAAAAAACTGAGTGACGGAATTTTCGTCTGCGAATCGCTGCTGAAACACAAAAAAGTCGAGCCATTTTTAAAGCGGATTGTAACTTGAAAACGGTTATGGTGGAGTCGCGGTGAGCTGTCGCAAACGGTGGCCAAGTCAAGTTGATGTTCAGGAAGGTTTTGTTACGTATTTGGTCGGATTTGAAGGGAATTATCTACTATGAGCTGCTCACCTACAACCAAACTTCTAACTCGTACGTGTACTTTAACAATTGCACCGTCTAAAGAAGGCAATCGCTCGAAAGTGGTCTGCTTTGACCAATAGAAGAAGAATATTGTTCCATCAGAACAACAGCAGGCCACACACATCCAAAGCAGCTTCTTAGGCACCCACCTTATAGTCCGGCCTTGGCACCAAGTGAATACTACCTGTTCTTTTCTATGACGGATGCTGGATTTCACTGGTGAAAAGTTTACCGCAAGAGACCGTTGTGAAAATCAACTGTTCCAGTTTTTTGCCAGTAGGAAGGAGGGTTTCTATTAAATTGGCTTCAAAATGGCTACAAGTTATCCATCAAAAATTTCTCTTTTTGACATAAATCGAATCATTCTAACTATGCTAAATAAAACTTTCAATTTAAAGCAAATTTTGGCGAACAACTCTAGGACACATTTGAACGAATCTCACGATTAATTTCTTGTGCTTAAAATCAGTGTCTAAAATGAAAATAACTGAATAAATATAAAATAGTTAAAAAAAAATAAAGTATAAAAATATAAAATATAAAGAAAAGAAAAACATTAATTAAAACATTTTGTAAATATAATCTAACAATAAACTGAAAGTTTAGTTGAAATTAATAATAATTGAAAGAAAATTAAAAAACCTAATAAAGTAATTTAATTTAATTTTAAAAAAATTTAAAAATATTAAAACATATTTAATAATTAAATAAAATGTTATAAAATATAAAATAATTATATATATGGGTGATACCATGTCAAATCGACAAATAGTTGGACGGATCCCCCACTGATTTGAATGAATTTTGGTGGAAAGTTTTGTCTTATCATATCAATAAATTATATAAAATATTTTTCTTATGTTAATGGGATGTAAAAATAATAATAATAAACAAAAAAACAAAAAAAATTAACATAAAAACAATATTTTAAACCTCAAATTTCGATACTCATGTGATAGAATATGATATACAACGAAAAAGTTGAAAAAATAGAAAAAAACTATTTTGAAAAAATTCAAAAATTCAGACCTTTATAATATGAAAAATTTTGAGTACTAAATTTTCCCGAGAAGGTTACTTTTACCGATTTTGAGAAATTCAAAATTTTTAATTTTGGTAATATTCAAATTTTATTTTCAAACTATTTTTTTTTTGCATACCTCTAGGTGTCCTCTGAAAACGCACCAGCGTCTTTATTTAATATACAGTAGTTTCTGAAATATTAAATAAATAAACTTATAAAATCGGCAAAATAGTGAAATTTTTAAATTTTGCATAGCTCTTAGGAAAAATTTTAAAAAATTTCAAAAAAATGTTCCTTTGGCAGAACTTCGTTTTATGATAAGACAAAACTTTTCACCAAAATTTATTCGAATCGGTGGGGGTCGCGTCCAACTATTTTTCGATTTTACATGGAATGACCCATATCACATTATTAAATAAACTTTTGGCAATACTAATTTCAATTTTTTTAGCGCATCTGGCTCCTACTTTTTGCAAACTGAAGCGTTCGCGCCTTTCGCCAAGGGTCCTATTATCGATGTGGAAGTGAATATATCTAAACCAGCTGCAAATAATACAAACTGAAAATTGCCTTAGCAAAAATTATAGAGAAAAATTGCAATATAATGTTTTTTACTGCTTAAATATATATGTATTTAAAATTATATAATATTATTTTTTTCAAAATTGTTTCTCTGCTATCACACAACTCACTTTATAAAGCCAAATCATGCTAATATAATTATTTTTTATTCGTCAAGTATTATTAGACAAACAAACGTATCATCAATTTCATTAACACTCATAAGGTTTTTAACGCTCAAGTACGCGCGCACTCCCCAAAATCAAGTTCGTTGCTTAAGTTTTTCGTTTTTCGCTATTATTTACACGAACTCCATGCGTTGCATGCAATGGGCGCACCACTCGAGACAACCCCTTGAGCGTGTGCCAAGCTTACAGCTCGCATTTTAGTAATTGTAACAGTTTGTAAGCTCAAAATACGCGCCTCATTCAAACGGAGCACTGAGTGGCGGCAAAAAGCGCCGCACAACTTTTTGTACGAAAATTTCATGCAAACCGAAAACTTTCAGCCAAATTGAAAAACTTACAATCCAAAGCTGAGCGCAGCGCCGTGGTGGCAAAGGCAAACGAAAGCAAAAGTTGGCCGACAGCAAACAGACAGTTTTGAGTGCGCAAACGCGACGGCCACAAAAACGCGCAGACGGAAAAGACGAAAAGGCGGCAAAGCAAGCGAAATAAACGAGAGTGAATGCGGCGGCAAAGACAAATGTGTATGCGAAAGTAAAAGTAAAAGAAAAGTGCAAATGACGTGCACATCCGCAGTGCGGTGAAGGTGAAATTATTAATTAAACAAAAATAAAATAAATTTTATAAGAAAAAAAATAATATAAATAAAATAGAAAAATAACAAAAGCAAAAATATAACACTTAAAAGTAGTTAAATTATAAATATTTTGTTTGCGAAGCGTGGCTTCAGTAAAGTGGGTGCACGCCTCCAGGCTACTCGTTGTACCAGCTGCCAAATTGCCCACTTAAGCCGGAATTGTTAGAGACCAATGACCAAAAAATTGTATTACAGCATCGCAGCTGGTGGGCATCAAGGCAAGCGAGTGCTGTAAAGAAATATGCATGTGAATCTATGTATGCGTTAGTGAAGT